ATCTTCTTGCCCGTTTTCAACTGTTATCTTTTTTTTTTTTTTTTTTTTACTGGTGAATCTTAAGAGTTTATGGATTACAAATTCTTTGTTCAACATTTGGCATTCAGATGGCAAAGGAGTAACAGCTAAGAGCAAACTTGACATAAATTGCAAAGCTTATGCAAAAATTAGTCTCAAAGGATTGTAGATTTAAATATAAAGTGGCTCAATAAAACTTTTAGAAAATGGTGGGAAATGAGCAGAATTAAATACGGAAATCTTTTCCTACTGAGAAAATTATGGAAACATTTTAAGCGAGTCTAATGGGATCAGTGGTGTGTGTGTGTGTGTGTGTGTGTGTGTGTGTGTGTGTACTCACCTGGGCAGGTGTATGTGGAAGCCAGAGCAGAGTGGTGGTGGTGCATATCTTTAATCCCAGCACTCAGGGAGGCAGAGGCAGGTGGATTTCTGTGAGTTCCAGGACAGCCAAGCTACAGAGAGAAACCTTGTCTCAACAAACCTAAACAAACAAAAACAGCCAGTGCAGCAACCATCAATACAGCTGTTCACCATCCTATTAGGAGCTGTTTTTAGACTGAGTTATATATATATATGAGTGTTCCGTCTGCATGTATGTGTGAATGCCTGCAAAGGCCAGGGCAGGGTGTCAGGTCCCCTATCTGGAGCTACAGACAGTTTGTGAGCCACCACGTGGGAACCCGGGTCCTCTGGAAGAGCAACAAGTGCTCTTAATGGCTGAGCCATCATTTCTCCAATCCCCACCACCTTGTTTTCTGATCCAGGACTTCTCACTGAACCTGGAGCTCAGCATTTCGATTAGACTGCTGTCCAGCGAGCCCCTGGAATCTACCTACTTCCATTTCCCATAGCTGGAGTTACAGACTTGTGCTTTTTTATGCAGATGCTGGTATCAAACTTGAGGGGTTAGTGGTAATGTGTCTGAGGTGCAAGCGTGAGGACACTGAAACTACAAATCACTACTGAAAGAACTTGCAAAGTTTTGGGGGGCAAGCAGCTGGCTTTGATCCTCCATCCACTGACTCATCCCTTGTCTTGTATCTGGAGAACAGGGCAAAATAAAGAAGGGAGCGCTCACGGATCGGTCTCCAAAGGTGCTGCGTGCAATGGAACACGGGCTGGAAGAGCAAACGGGAGAATTCTACACATCTCAAACCCTGCTGTCTCTGAGTGTGTATTTCTTCTGCATAGTTTCCAAAGGTGCTGCGTGCGATGGAACACGGGTCAGTTGAGGCTCCATTAGATCCAGACATAAGGCTCCTGTGTGTGTGTGTGTGTGTGTGTGTGTGTGTGTGTGTGTGTGTGTTTGTGTGCGAGAGCATGTGTACATGACATCATGAGCATCTGGGATGAAGAGAGGAGTTCTAGCAATTTCCAAGCTTTACATTTATTCTGTACTATGCTTTCTAGATAAAATTCATTCATTGGCAGAACACCTGTGGAGAAAACTCCAGTCACTGAGGCTGTTTGGAAAACCATATGACAGTGTTTCATTTTTCTCCTCAAACAGTAAATGAGACAGAAAAGTCAGTTAAGAGAACAACATGGGAAAGTGCTGGAATTTTAAAATTAATCAATCACACATGTATGATTTCCAAATAAGAACTCTAAGGAGTGTCATAATGAGGCAGAGCTGCACACTGTCACCAGAGGGCAGCAGAGGCCAGGGACCAGGAGAACAGGGAAAAATCTAATGTTCCTAGGCAGATCTGACTGAGAGGAGGCTGACTTATATTGGGCTTTGCTACAAGTTTGTCATTGTTCTGGGCACAAGAGGATACAAAGGTCAAAGGCAGAGATCAAAGTCAAGGGCTAAAGTAAGAATGCAATAGAACAGTTTCTTAGTTTAGGGTTTCTATTGCTGTGACAAAACACCATGACCAAGCAAGTTGGGGAGGGTTTGTTTGGCTCACACTTCCACATTGCTGTTCATTATTGAAGGAAGTCAGGACAGGAACTCAAGCAGGGCAGGAACCTAGAGGCAGGAGCTGATGCAGAGGCCATGAAGGGGTGCTGCCTGCAGGCTTGCTCCAGATGGCTTGCTCAGCCTGCTTTCTAATAGAATCTAGGACCACCAGGCCAGGGATGGCACCACACACAATGGTCTAGGCTCTCCTCCATTGATCACTAATTGAGAAAATGCCTCACAGCTGGCTCTCATGGAGGTGTTTCTTCCAGAGAGGCCCCTTCCTCTCTGGTGACTCTAGCTTGTGTCAAGTTGACACACACAACCAGCCAGTACAAACAAAATTAAGGGAGCAGTTCTAGACACCCAGGAAACACCCCAAGATGGTGGGTCTGGGGAGCGCAAAAAACATGGCAGACAGAAAGTAGGCAACTCTGGGTCCATCCCTGGCTAAGGCACTAGGTGTTCGCTAATCAGCCAAGAAAAATTGCTAGATCAGCAAGACCCAATCTGTGTATTTGCTTTGTTCTGGATCAGAATTTGAATGGTCCTTTTGCTGGGTTTAGACAGGCTGTTTGAATGCCCACAGGCATGCCTACACAGTCAATCTAGTAGAGCCACCTTCTAAGTTGATGTTCCCTCTTTCCAGATGTTCCTGGTTTGCATCAAGTTGACAAAAACAAACAAACAAAAACAAAACTAACCAGCCCATGGGTTATTAAAAACAAGTATGGAAGGGGCTGGAGAGAGGGCTCAGAGGTTAAGAGCACTGGCTGCTCTTCCAAAGGACAAGTGTGAAGTTCAGAGGGACCATGTTGGGGGTGGGGAAAGTTGGAGGGGGAAATGGATGCTAGGTGTGAAAATACTTCACTGCAATATATATGTATGAAATTCTGAAAACTAAAAAAAAAAAAAAAAAAAAAAAACAAGTTCCAAATTCTTTCCCTGGTTGTATATCAAGGTGGTTTGTGAGACTCCAGGCAGCAAGAGGAGGTGCAGAGAATTGGAAAGCAGAAACAAGACCAAATATGAGAGCAGTTGAGATGACACACTAGGCAGAGGACTTGTCACGGAGCCCGGTGGCCTGAGCTTGATCCCTGAGACCTGTAACAGTCCCCCCCCCCCACCTTAGCATAACGGATGCCATGATGGAGGTACCATTCAAGCCATAAAACTCATCGTGTAAGCAGCACCACCGGCCAAAACTAAAACAAAAGCCTCATCCATCAAAGTCCACAGTTCTGGAAAAGTCTCGAAATGCACTAACCTTGCTCTTCAGCTTCTGTAGTTCTGCTTCTGGCTAACTGTTCTTGCCAGCTGAGGGGTATCAATCCAGAATGTGGGTTTGTGCTTAAAAGTTCACCCTGAGAAAGGCTTGGGGCTACACTGGGACCCTGAACACGCATGTAGTCCTTGGTCAGCTAAAAAAGACTTTCTATTGGCTTAAACCCCTACCCAAGTAGTCTTCTCTGGTGGGTGCCCCACACAGGATCCATATGGTAGAAAGAGAAAACTGATTCCTGAAAATGGTCCCCTGACCTCCACCTGTGCACTGTGGCGTGCAGGTGTCCATGCACACAAAATAAATAAATAACTGTAATAATAAAAAAAAAAAGCTAAAAACCAGGTAAGAGTCAGTCAGCTTTTTTGTTGTTGTTGTTTTAATATATTTTATTTATTTTTATTTCGTGTGCATTGGTGTCTTGCCTGCATGTATGTCTGTATGAAGGTGTTGAATCCCTTGGAACTGGAGTTACAGACAACTGTGAGCTGCCATGGGGGTGCTGGGAATTGAACCCGGGTCCCAGTGCTCTTAACCACTGAGCCATTACTCCATCCCCAGTTTGTTTGTT